GGGACTTGAATTAAAATGAGTCTCTGACTCACCTGCAGCTCACTCCAAGCAGAGTTTGTTCTTAACCTTCTACACTATCAAATGCATTTTTCAGCCTACAAAATACCTCCCAGCTTAGCCAATAGCTCCCTTTTCAAGGAGAGATGGGAATAAGATATTGTTGCTATATAATCTCTTATTCACTCTAGTCCACTTATTAACTCTTTCATTAGCTCACTGCAGTACTCAGAAGGGACAGATATATACTCCTGTATCCCTTGCAACAGCAGTTAAGTATTTGGCAAGCCTTCAATGCTCAGTTTTTTTCATAGCTGGGCAGGCAGGCTAATGTCAGCTTGTAGCACCAATAGAGTGGCTAAAGAGGACAGTGGAAACTTTGTAGTGCAACAAACCACCGTGTGCAGAAATACTTTCTGAAACATCCTAAACAGAGCAAAGATTAAATACAAGCATACCTCAAACATATTGAAAGTTTGGCCCCCATCACCGCAATATAGCAAAAATCACACTCAAGTGAGTCACACATTTTTGTTGTTGTTGTTTTCTGGTGCATATAAAAGTTATGTTTACACTATACATAGTCCATTAAGTGGACAATAGCATTATGTCTAAAAATTACGTATCTTCATTAAAAAATACTTTATTGCTAATAAATGCTAACGATTGTCTAAGTCTTCAACGAGTTGTAATCTTTGTTGGTGAAGGGTCTTGTCTCAGCATTGATGGGCGCTGGCTGATCAGGGCAGTGGTTGCTGAAGGTTGGGGTGGCTGTGGCAATTCTTAAGCAATCAATGAACTTTGCCACATTGATTGACTCCTTTTCTGAAAATTTTTTCTTGAGCATGTGATGCTGTTCGATACCATTTTGCCTACAGTAGAACATTTTTCAAAATTGGAGTCAATCCTCTCAACCCTATTGCTGCTTTGTCAAAATAATTTTATATAATATCTGCATCTTTTGTTATGTTAACAATGTTCCTAGCATCTTCATGTAGAGTAGATGCCATCTTAAGAAACTCTTTTCTTTGCTCGTCCATAAGAAGAAACTCTTCATCTGTTCAAGTTTTGTTTTGACATTGCAGCAATTTAATCACATCTTCAAGCTCCACTCTTGATTCTAGTTTTCTTGCTATTTCTCCCACATCTGCAATTATTCATAAATCCCTCAAACTCATCCATAATGGTTGGAATCAACATCTTCCACACTCCTGGTAATGTTGATATTTTGGCCTTCTCCCATGAATCATGAATGTTCTTAATGGCATCTAGAAAGGTGAATTCTTTCCAGAAGGTTTTCAATTTACTTTGCTCAGACCAATCAGTGGAATTGCTAACGATGATACCTATAACCTTTAAAAATGTATTTTCTTTCTTCTTATTTTTTTTTTTTTTTGAGAGACAAGGTCTTGCTCTGTTGACCAGGCTGGAGTGCAATAGTGTGATCATAGCGCACTGCACCCTTGAACTCCTGGATTCAAGTGATCCTCCCACCTTGGCCACTCTAGTTATAGGCATAAGCCACCACACCCAACCTGAAATATATTTCTTGAATAAGAAGACTTGAAAGTCAAAATAATTCCTTGATCCCTTGGCTATGTTAGCAGGCATGAAAATAGCATTAACTTCCTTGCACATCTCCTTCAGAGCTCTTGTGTGACCAGATGCATTGTCGCTTATCAGAAATAAGTTGAAAGGAATCTCTCTTTTCTTCTGAGCAGTAAGTCTTAACAGTGGGCTCAAAATGTTCAATAAATCATGCTGTAAACAGATGTGCTATTATCTAGACTTTATTATTCCAGTAGAATAAATTGAGTATAATTCTTAAAGGCCCTAGGATTTTTGGAAGAGAGTACCAGATTCAATTTAAAGTCACCAGGTGCATTGGCCCCTACCAAGAGAGTCAACTTGTCCTGTGAAGCTTTAAAGCCAGGCATTAACTTCTCTCTAGCTATAAAAGTCCTATATGACATCTTCTTCCAGTACAAGGCTGTTTTGTCTACATTGA